GGGGGGGTGCGCAAAATTTTCAGACAATCTGGTTGAGGCTCACATGCAGGTCTAGAAAAAGTTTTGTTCTAATTAAAAATTGTACGTCTTCTGTGTAGGTAAGTTACTCTCTATAACATCATGATCATTATACAGTTGAGGAGGTGAGTGGTTGGCAGTTGGTATGGTGTGGTTTGCTCCTTTACTGTTCATCATCTACTGTCCCTATCTATCCTCCTACTTTTTTTTTTTCGGTATCTCACTTTATGGTATATGACTTCTAATCTCATGGTTTAATTGGGCCACTGTTTATGTTTAGTTATTATATCATGAATTGCCTAGATATGACTTTTTGGAACTCGGTGATAATTTTCTTTGGATCAATGGACGTCTGCGATTTCAAGGGTAGCAGAAATGATAATTTTAGCTGAAAGACTGTCATGGCTAGTTGTAAAGTGAATAAAAAAGTGAGGGTTGGATGCATCTTTTCACTGCTGAAACTCTTTGTAGCCCATGGATTCATTATTCATAGGTGGAGATACTAGGTAAGCAAAGGGAAGACTTGTAAAATATGAAATTGCAGCATCTGGTTACTTTTGGGGACCTAAGTGACTTGTGCAGACCTGTCAGGTGTTTCGATAAAATTAGGGCTCATTAATGTTTTTTGTTATGCCCTTCGAAGAACCCTGCTTTGATTTGCTTGAAATCATATTTTTTTCTTTAATTTCGTTTCCATCAGGCCATATGCCACTTATTGTAAATGATGTCACAATATGCATTTTTTAATGCAATTTTTGCATGACTTTTCTTAAATGACATGAAAATACATAATTTTATCTGTGTATATTTGCAGTACTTATCAATTAGCCACTTCTGGTATGTTACATACTGTTAATCTACTGGGGTTCTGGAGATTCCAAATTTTTCCCTAACTCCTATGAAGGAAGGGATAACCCCTAATAATTCCATTTAATCTTGAAAAAGTCCTTCTTTTTGGCTTTTTTCTGTTATCATCGCTGATTTGTATTGTGTGTTCAGGTCCGACTTGTCAGAACAGTTACCGAATGGTGACCCAGATCGTATCACTCAGGGCATCAACAATGTGATTGCCGCCATTGTGCCACGCTTGAAAGATTTCCATGACCTGCTTGTGAACCCGCCAAAGGTAAGACAATATCCCTCATGATGAATTGTTACTCAAGCCATTAATAGCTTTGCCAGTCCTTTTATTTAAAGTTTAGCGACTATACCTGGGATTGTTAAGATAATGCAGTTTGTCCTGTTATTATGTGTGCCCAGTTTATTTTTTATTTTATTGTGCACTGGCACAATCAGTAGAAGGACCCTCGGCAACATTTTGGAGAGAGCAACGGAGCATCAATGGACATGTCTGGAGTGCAGGAATGTTGCTTCCTGAAACAATGAATAAATGAATGAATGAGTTTATTTTTCCCATAAAGTATTAACCTGATAGAGATAAGATAACTGATTGGCCATGTTTACTGCACTACCCCGTTTCCTGACCTAACTCTTGATTTAAAAAGAATAGTTTTGGCTCATAGAAGCTTTGTGGTCCTGTTAAAAGATATTTTTTAAAATTCTAAGATTTGTCATGATAATTGAAAAATGAATGCTCTAGCATTTAAAAATGTTGTTTTATGAAGTTTTAGATATATAACATTAAAGTGCTTCTTTGAGTGTAAATGTGTTAAGTATATTAGGATATGGGGTAAAACAAGCATATGCCTTTAAAAACCTCAAGATTATTAAGAGGCTGATATATGCGGAGTGGACGAATGGCTTTGAAATAGCTCCACCCAAACCAAATAATGAAACATATATTCAAAGCACTATCATCTTCACCATGTATTATTAAAAGTACTTCAGTGTGATAGCAACTGACCTTATGACATATATCCAACCCCATGTTAGCAGTTAGAAAAGTTTACAAAAGCAAAAATAGGGAAATAAATCAAAGGGAAAGTTCAATCCTTTTGCTGTGAACAGCTGAATGTTAGATTCACTCCACACGCATTTGACTAGACCCAGAAAAACTTATTTTAAAAAATGGGTACAGATAGGTGACAAGAAAACCCGAGGATAATCCTATTTCGGTATTGAATACTTTTCATTCTGGCAGATGAGTGAAAAAAACCTGACGTGCAGGGTTGACAGACTGTCTCCTAGACGATAAAAATTGTGTTGATGTTGATGTAAAAGCACTTACCCAGAAATAAAAGGGTTTATTTTTTGTTCCTAAAAGTCCACAAGAGTGCCTCATTCCATTTGAAACGGTCCCAACTACTGTGTTTGTTGCAGCAAAGATACAGCATGATGCCATCCTCTGTGGGCCAGCTGGAGCCACCACTTGGCAACACCCGGCTGCAGGTCGCCAAGTTGATCACTGCTCTGGTTGGGGCCAACATGCACCAAGTGAACTTGGAACTGGCTGCTCTGGGAACTATACAAACTTTGTTGGTGAGGGTTTGATTCTCCTGTTTTGTGATGCTAGTAGCTAAGAGAATGTTACTGAAGTTCTTAACTCGTTCCCTGTTTTTTTTTTGGTTCGTTTACTTAAGCTCTATTTTGTATTGAGCATAGTTTCTGGGAAGGAGTTCTAGGTCTCGCTCAGTGTATTTAATAGTAATTACAGGCTCCAGAGTACTTTCTTTTGACATTTTTCAAAAAAGTTCAAGACTTGAGAATATTTCCTTGGCTGTGCATATATTTTCTTCTTTCCTCATCAGACTTATTTTGCACTGTAGAACACTTCAAAAATGCATATCACTTTTATGCACCTAATGCTGTATAATTTAGTGTATGAATATTTTACTTCCTAGAAGAAAGTATATGTTGATTTAGAACTTTACGGATAGAGCATCCTGCTTTCTTTTTTATGCTATTTTGTCACTATTTAATGTATTGGTCACTTTTGTGTTTGATTTTGGAGATGAGTGAAAAAGGACATATCAGAGCTGTACTGTCATTTTCTTGCTTGCAGGACTTGTACTTTAGGTACGAGTGGAACAATTTCCTGCACACGCAGGTGGAACAGTGCCTTCTCATCATCCTGAATAATGGGCCCATTGAGATCGATGGGAAACACGAGCATCCACTGCTGACTAAAGTGAGTCTCATATCATTGTCATCATCATCATCATCATCAACTTTGTTAGTCTTGTTGACTGTTGAGATGCCATCATCATCATCATCATCATCATCATCATCAACCCTGTTAGTCTTTTTGACCGTTGGAGTGCCAGGGAGGATTTTCTACCACCCCATTCGATTGCTGGACTTCTTCAAAGCCTCATATATTTCTGAGATGTTATCTTCCCATTTTTTGTTCTGCCTTCCTGTTGTTGTCTCTGTACCTTACAGGACAGTTTTTGCTTGTCTACATTATCTTGCAGTCTAATTTACTTAGATTTACAACGTTCATGTTGTCCTGATATTTAGAAAAACCAGCAGAAGTTGACAAAAAAGTTAATGGTATATGATGGTGCGGAATGTCTTTTCTGGTAACCATGCGTGTGGATGGTTGGCATGTGCTCTGGTTTGGTTTGCTTTTCTTTCCTATCAAATATCTTGACATTTTCTCTCCCTTTTTTTTTTTTTCCCCTCCTTTGTAGCACCTCTAATCTTTGGCACTTATATGACCTAATTGTACTGCTAGTGCTGTGAAACACTTATATAGCAAAAACAAATCATGTGTACAAGGGTATTTGAAATGTAAAAACTCATGGATTAATTAAAAAAAATTTCCTCTCTAGGATTGGAATGGAGGTGGTTGTGTGTGTTCTGATAATTCATTTTGTTTACTGAACGGAGAATTTACTATATACTTTTTCTTTCAGCTCTTTGCAGAATACAATTTGGTACAGAGGTTACTTCAAGAATGGGAGGAAAACGAACAGAAACAGTAAGTCTTTATTTAGCAATGACAATGAAAAATTAAATTTTCATCAAAATTGCTTAAAAATGGGCTTAAATGAAAATAAAGTAAATTCTAAGAACTACGGTTTTTAAATTTAAAAAATCCATTGATAAATAAAAAAGTTATTGGGATTTTTGTTTGCAAAATGTTGGAGGATCTTCATATAAGAAAAAATCGCCAAAATGTGGGACATGTTTTGATGTATTTTGAGGAAAAACTGTTCATAAGTCAGTAATGAATTGGAGCATATGAATGAAACTTGGCATCTCCATGTGATTTTTAGTGCAGAATCTAGTTCTGCTATTTTTCGATGTCTTCATTACTTTGGATCTTAAAGACTGATATTTGCGTGAAATTTGTAGAATTGCGTGACATCGTTTTTACCGCGACGCGATCACCCCTTCTAAAACTTAATGAAGCGCTTTCGGGAAAACCCGCGATGTAGTCATCGGTGACCCATTTGGTTATAGGCAGCCAATCACATGCCGCCTAGCGATCACGCGCCTCTTGCGTGCCGGCACCTTGCGTTTGGAATGCGCGATCAAGTTTCCAGATCTAGTGTTTTATCAATGGATGGGTGGTAATTTTAAGTTGGTACGGAAAATCTACTAAACGCAGAGATCTGAAATTTTACAGCAATAAAGAAGACATGTGGGGCGTTGTGTGGTCGGCGATCAACCCGCAGCTCCGCTTAGTTTTCGAACTGCAGAGGAAATTCTCACAAACACGGCAATATCTCCGGTTCTAGTAATCGTTCGGGATTGTACGCTGGCATGTCGTTAGATTAACCTTTCCTCTGGTTGGTTGCCGAGTTTCATTTATTTTCGTCCAGGAGTTTTCCCGTAACTATACTTAGAAGAGAGTCACCTCTGATTCCGAGCGGCCCAAAAATTACCCCTCGTGCGGAGGCCGATTTCCGGCCCAAGGCGCAGCGGGCGATTGGCATTGCTACTTTATTGTTTATATGCTGTTTTTGTACAATTGAAATACAAATTTGTCAATTAATGATGTCTTAGCTCACATTCGTAGGCCTAAGAGTATTATTACTTCACATGAAATGTAAGTATAGTGAAAATTGATAATTGTACTTTGTTTTGTTTTTGTAAAGCGTTTTAAGGCGCTCGCAACTGCATAGGTCATATGAGCGCGCGGGACACACCTAATATTTTCAGTTGGTAGGAAATTTTGAATTTTGCCCGGGTGGCGGCAGAAGCCTACTCTTATCGATTTTAGACCACCAAGGGATCTTTAACGTGCCCAACTTGCACACGGACCCTCCGAGATTTTTTGCCCTTGTCCGAGAAGGCTAGGTGTAGATCTTTCCTACCAGAAGATAAGGGGTGTGGCAGAAAGACAGCAGTAAGAAGCCAAAGAGTAGCAGTAGAAAGGCTGCAGAAAGAGTCAGGAGCCCAGAGGAGGGGGCAAAGGAAGTGAGGGGGTGGGGGCAGAAAGTGGAATTGAAAGCAGACAACAGAACATTGCTAGAGAGCTGGAAAGGAGGTGAAAGGAGACAATTTTAGAGAAGAAAATTTTTAGGTCGCTACCCGGATTCGAACCCGGGACCTTTGAATGAGAGGCCAACACTTTAACCACTAGGCCACGAGAGCCCCCTAATTGTACTTTGGTACATGCACTATGGATATTATTTTCTGTGTTGTCACTTGTCTTAACACTTTGAATACAGTTCTTGATCCTTGGTCATAACAGCTGAGATATCAGTAGGATGCTGATTGTGGTAGTCATAGGCATAGTATAAATCAAAGTACAAAAAATATGAATATCAAATTTTATGCTGCTGACTGGTAGCCAGTTAAATATTTCAAGGAATGTTGTATGCATGCACAACCTCAAAATGAATAACTTGATTACTTCTGTTTCTAGGGTGTAAATAACATTTTAAAATGCAAGAGTTTATGATGTTTAATTTTGTCATGTTATTCCCCCCCCCCCCCCCCCCCCCCCATTACAGGAGGGCACCTGCTGGGAGACGACGAGGGTACATGGGTCACTTAACCAAAATAGCGAACTCCATATCTGGTCTAGTGGAGAAGAATGAGTCACCCAGTCTTGTTAAGGATCAATTTAGTGGTATGCTTTTTAAACCATTGATTTTGCTTTTTTATAACTTTTTTCCGTTTGCTGCATGCCCCCCTCCCCCATTGTTGTGAATTTCAGGTAGTTTCCATTTCTATCGTCTGCAGATTCTCTTTCCGATATTTCAACAGGCTAAATGAATTGAAGTTTTCTCTGTTTTGTGTTGCCAGTTTGCAGTGTCGAAATAGTTTTGAAATTTCTTAATGTTATGTTTTTATTCCGAGGAATAATTTAGTTTCATTTCACCATATGTGAATGCTTGGATGACGCTCTCATGTCCATTTTTAAAAACATCTCCTTTTTTTTGGAGTGTTTTCTGTAGGCCCAATTTCTCGTCATATGTGGCTATTGTTGTAATGCTTTGTAGTAAGCAGCTGCTTTACTGCTTTGTTTTTCTTTTGTGCCAATGTCTCTCTCTCAGATGTAGTTGTGCTAATGCCAAATGAAGTCACTATGCTTGCAGGTTTTCGTGATTTTGTAGCTGTGTGGTTGTATGTTTCAACTTCAACTTGGTGTGGGCGTTGGGCGGGTGCTGTGGTGTGGTTTACTTTTTGTTACCTATCAAACATCTGTTGTCCTTATCTCTCCTCCCTGGGTGATTGGCGGTCGCTCTGGTGCGCTTTGCTCCCTCTTTCCTATCAAACATCTATCGTCCTTATCTCTCCTTCTATTATGTGTATGTTACTCTCTTGTAACACATCTATTCTTCGGCACCTATAGTTATGACCTTATTGTGTTGCAAGTTCTGTAAAACTTTTACTAATACTTATCTCTCCTCCTTCCTTTCCTTTATATTTCACTCTAGTATCACCTTTGAACTTCGGCACTATTATGATCTATTTGTTACAAGTGCTGTATAACTCACTAAAGCTGAACTAAAAAGGGATGGCACTTGCTTAGGTATTACAGAATTTCCAGTATATTGAGACATGATTTTGATTATTGACTTCAAAGTTTTAAAAAAAAATTTTTTTATACTAATTTTTTAAAAATGTTTAAAAAAAATATTGTTTCAGGGCTTTCAGATGAATGCAAAGAGAAGTGGGAGGCATTTGTCAGTGGTGCCTTGGCGGAGGTGAACAAAAGGAACACAATAGAATCTGTGAGTGCTGTGGCGTATGATGATCATGTCATGTTGTTGTTTGTATTGAGGATGCAATTTACACCGCACAGGGAATATTTTTCTACTTCAGTTTTGTTTTAAATCGTATGTATTTAGAACGATCTAATGGACCTGCATATATTTACAAATTTTTCGTATTATTACAAAAATATGCCAGAAATTTAACCCCATTACAAAAATATGAATGTACAATGAAAATTACGAAAATCAGGTCAATTTTATGAATAATTAATTCTACAACTAGATCCCACCGAAATAATTCTAAGATGATCATGAGTATTCGTTGAACGCCGGTTTCCAATAGACTTATACTGTTTAGTATCGTTTGTTCTTTATACAACTTGTGGTATCGGGCGCGAAGTTTCCACAGTACATCTTGATTCTATATTTCTAATAAAACTGCAGCAGTTGTTTTTTTTTCGAACAGCACACTTTGAATTCAGGATTCCTTCCGTTTTCCCCACGAGGAACGTCATTTTGACTTTAGGCATCGCTCAGATTTAATTGATTTCACATTCTATGGATTACTTGATCTAGATCTAGACTCAAACTTTTTTTTGTAGGCCCCTACTTCGTAGAAGGAAAATGTACTGTTACTAATTTTTTGAGTCAAAATTACAAATTTTTGCCCATTGTTATTACCAATTTTTAAAGTCTCAACTAGGCTGGTCTGGATCGAATAAAAGTTTTTCGCTTTGGTAAAGCCCATTTTGATCTTAATTTAGGGGATTCATGATTGTTCAAGTCAGCCTGCTTTGCTTTCAAAATTTTTAGCTTTCTTCCTACAGTATCACTGCCGATTGACAAGCTTTTCGTATACTTTTTATTTCTTTTCAGATGAGAGGCAACCCCCTGGCAACCAGTAGTGAAGATGATGACACTGACTTCAAAGACATTCCTTTCCCTCAAGACACAGCTATCCAGCAGGTGAGAGATGTCTTAGTAAGAGCATGCAAAGTAGAACTTTGAGGTGTTGCTGCAGGTGATGGGGCTATTGGTTGTTCAGTTTTATGAGGGCTTCTAGGGAGGGGGATGTTTTTTGTGACGCACTTTTTTGTTTTAGTCAAAGTTTTACAGAACTCGCAACACAATGTCATTAAATTGGTGAAAATAAGAGGTGTGTTACAAATAAAGTAACAAACATAAAGAAGAAGGAGGAGAGATAGGAGGATGTTTGATAGGTAAGAAGGGGCAAACCTCACGAGAACACCCACCTACCACCCACTTTCACGACTCAATTTGTTTCTGCCTCAGTAGATAATAAATGTCCATAAAGCACTGAAGATGGGGTTGATTATATCTTTAAGGAAAAATGGATGTCTGAATGATAATTGTTTTAGAGTAAAGGACTGTTTTTTAAAATGATTTTTGTTAACTTTGTGCATGGAAACCTCCCAACGTGAAGAAGTAGATTTTAAAACGTTAGATGTGTCAATCTTGAAAATTTTTAATGTGCAAAAAAAAAATGTATTAACTGGACAAAAGTTGTATGCACAAAGTTAAAAGTATTTGATATGCCACATATCCAACCAGTATTTATAAGAGCTCTGTAATGAAATGACGCGCCTGGGTGCCTCCTTATCCCCAGGCTTTCTCTGACTATCAGTTACAACAGATGACCAGTAACTTTATAGACCAGTTTGGCTTCAACGATGAGGAGTTTGCTGAGCAAGATGACAAAATTGAGTAAGCTTTGGTGCTGCAGTGAATCTAATAATGGTTTTGTTTCATAGCAGTATTCTCTGTACTCACTTGGTAATAAAGCAAGTACTCGATTGTTCAGTATTTGCAATGTTTTACATAGTTTGTCATAGTTGGCAGTCTTCCATCTCAACTCACATTGCTGTTCTTAAGAAATTGGGAGAAACTAAAGTTCTCTCTTTTCTAAGCTTGTGAAGTTTTTCTATTACCTTCAAATAAAATAAAATGATTGAAGGGTTATGTTCAGAAAATTGTTTAGACTAAAGTTGGATTTTGACAGGCTTGTCCTATGGCCATACGTATCAATAGGCATTCTGAGAATTTTAAATCAAAGAAAAAATATAAATCTCTTTAAATCCCAACCATTGCGTATAGAGTCCCTTGTAGCTGTTTCTCCTTAAAATGCGCATCTATGTTAAGCTATTTAAAAAGGTTTTATACTGTTTGATTTGTCTGTATTTCTACAAATACCGAAACTGTATCCTGTTGGGGGGGGGGGACATTTATGGGGACTGAAATATGGTTTTAATATTTACTGTTTTCTAGAAGCTGGCTGTTATCTCTAATCTGATTTGAACATGCACTGGGATAATAGTTATCAGGAATGCAAACCTTCAGTAAAATTGCGAACATTAGTCTTTAAAAACTAAACCTGTATGGAACTCTCTAATCATTCCCGTAAAACGAAAAAAAATACTGGAACTGAAGGAAAAGTTGGATAGTTAATTTAAGGGAAATGGCAAATTTTACATTGTATGAAGATACGACAATGTCGGCAAAAATCGAATAGTACGACTGCTGTTTTACACTGGACTCATGGAATATGAAAGTTCATGGAAATTACCTCCGGATATGAAGGTTGGTACACATGATGTTAAAAGCTGTTTTCATAACAACAAAAATTTAAAATCAGTGACAGACATTTTTAAACGTGGCTGTGGTTTTGGAGTTCTAGATCTGTTTGGTTTGGACGTGTTTCATTGCCTCTGTGGATCTGAATATACTGCTGCATCTAAAGGGCTTGCATTGAATCAAGGATTTTTTGTGATGACTTTGTCTTGGGGTAAAAGCTTTTTTTTTTTCATCTCAACATGGGTGGCTGTTATTTGGAAATTGCAAAGATGGTACTAATTGTGGACTCTCCTTTGACAGTTGCTTCTGTACATTGGCATGTGCTGGCTTTGTGTCCAGGCATTTTAAACTGATTGATGTTTGCAGAAATGACATATCTTGGAATGTCTCTGAATGTTGTGTCAGTGGTTTCATAGCCTGAATCAAAGACCTGTGTGGGTTATGTGGTTTTAGTTGACAATCATTCTTAATTAAGGTAAAACTTATGCACTTGTACCAGTATCATGGTCAAGTTTCTTTTCCAGGCAAAAATGATCTTTTTGTCTTCATTGAAAATTGGATGGTGCACTAAAGCTTTGTTTTTTTTCTAATTAATGTGTTACATTAGAGTTTTGGAAGAGTATATATATGTGTAACGAGGTACAGCAAACCTTATTTTACTTCCATTGTTGCTGATTACAAAGTCATTGTTTCCTTTCAACTCTAGATCTAGGTTTAATTCTTGTGGTGTTAAGACTACAGCTATGTTTCATTGGTTACATTTGAATACGTATGTTACAGATTTCATGTAAGTAGATGGTTTTAAAGGTAGTCTCTTGTCTTTTGTGGATTTAATGCAGGAAAGATTAAAAAAAAAAAAGAAGTAAATTGATGTGGTAGTTTGTAATTTTTGCGTTTTATGTAATTTCAGAGCTGCATTCTCGGACAGAATATCCAGTATAGATTCAGATATTCACGTTTCTGAAGTAAGTAGTCTGCTGGTACTGTTTAGATATGTGATCAGATATGACCAATTGGGTCTAAATGTGTCACATATGACAATTTTTCAGAATTTGAATTCCATGTTTTCTTATACATCACAAAGAACTTGTTGCATAAGTGTGGTGGTGATAGGTGGGAAAATAAGAATGGGAGCACTTCATGTTGATAAAAGTTTGTTTCAAGGGTTTTGGAGTAAAAGTTTCCTTACCAGTGTAGTCTTTCAGAGCAAGCACCAGATGCATGTGTATTATTTTAATTTGGGTCCAACTTGAATATTTAAAGAGAAAAATGTCTAAGGCAGTGATTTCTTGTCAAACTAGGTTTAGTTCAAAGTTGAACCTACCCTGCTATTTTGGGCTTGAAAGCATTAGTGTCTGCAACATGTAAGATGACATTTGATGAATATAGATTCGAATGTGTAGTGAGTGGGATTTCACCTGAGAAATAAAGACAGAGCTGTGAATAAAAAAATTTCCCTCTGATGTCCATATGATATATTTCTGAGAATGGTAAAAATTTAGGATGATACAGGTGCCCAAGTGATAATTTGTGGAGACTTCTTTTCAAAACATGTCTTACCATTGGTTTTAGGGGTTGTACTGTGATTTATTTCCTGAGGCGTTGCTATATTTTCATGTATGAAGTGTTGCCACTGACTGTTTTTTTCTTTTTCCCAGCAATCTAGCACAACTTTATTTATTCAAGCTTGCAATGAGAGGATTCCACAGTTTGACAATGAAGACAGCGATGAGGATATCTGGGAGGAGAAGCCAATTGTCTTCAACAAAAATGCTCAACACGCCCGCTCAGAGTGAGTGTTAGGAAACGAACTCGTGCCTTTCCGTGTACATTAAGGGCAAGAATGTTCTGCTCTCTGACAGAACTGCACTTAAACTTTTCCATTATAGGTAAAATAGAGTTATTTTCAAAAAGGCTTTTGGCAACGTCATACTGTGTAAGAACAAATTGGGGCAAGTTCTGCAAAAGTACCAAAAAAAATAAAAAAAATAGAGTTCAAGTCCTAAGGTCAAATATATACTGCCTTCAATGCTTTGTCATGCAGTAGATAGTTTGCGTGAAGAACATTTTTACTTTTTTCAAGTTGAATGTAGAGGGGTCTTGCTCATTTACCAATGTTTTTTTTAGTTTAGTAGAGGTTGCGAGTGCCGTAAAACCTCTACTAAACTAAAAAAAACATTGGTGGGAAGGGGCATTCCCTGTACTTGTTTTTCTTGTATGTAAACACTGCAGGCTATGACGAGTATTGGCCCTGTATCGCAGTTGGGAGTGCCAGCAGTGACCATTCTAACATCCAGTGCACATTTCCCATTTGATACATTCGAATAATTTGATAGTGGAGGGCGACAGATTTTCCTCCATGTAAGGGCAAAAGCTTTTATTTTAGCACTGTTTGATCAAATCCTCCAAAATCAAACATGCTTGTTTTGGTTGGGTCACGTAACTGATACGTCTTTTGAGTCGGGTGAAAACAGCTAATCACAAGGCTAGTACCCTAAGAGTCGCATGAAATTGTTTGGTCAGATCTTTTGTTTGCTTATGAAATGCGATAATGAATGGTCTCGGTTTGGTCACAGCAGATCAAAGTTTACCCAACAAGTTAAATTTGATGAAGTAAGGCGGGGGTCTGTTTGATGTAGTGTACACTGAAGTTACCATTAATCAACCTAATCTGACTTGATCCCATCCTGCTGATCAAGTTCATTCCCCACTTATTTCTTTGCTCAACGCTCTCATAAACACTATTGTACCTTGGTCGTCTCCGGTCACCCATTTTATAAAGTTTTATAAGCAAGTTATACTTGACTTCATGACCTTTTGTTATATTTATTAGTGGATGGTTGGTAGGTGTCACTGATATGTTGTACTTCTTTACTCTTCCTCTGTTATTGCAGTCTTTCTGTCTCGCCTCTGCCATGGGCTATTATCATATTGATGAGCTTTTCCCAATCTCATACATTACAAACATTATATTTACTGTAGGCGATTACAAGCTGAAACTGCTCGGTGTAACAGCAGCGATGAAGACAGCACAGACAGTGGAGAGGAGATTGATTCCCCGGTCAAGATTGTACAGCAGCCCACAGAGGGCATGGACACCTCTGAGAGTAAGTGCACACTTCTAATGTGTCTGTCCATCTATACCGAAATGCTTACATTCTGAAAGTTCTGTACTACTTGCCCCATCATATCTACTCCATCCGTAATCTATACTTGATTCTGTATTTTCGTGGATAAGTTTAGACCTGCATGTTTGCCGACAATCGTCTGAAATCTGACAATCGCGAGCCGGCCGATGCTATCGCTAGGCCCACCTGTATAAATGTGTGTAGTGCGAGGCCTGGCGGACTGCCAGTGCCCCCTTTTTCTCCCGTCGGCTTTGCCGGCACTTTCATTTTCGTGCCGACGTCGGCGTTTCCGACATAATTGTCGGAACCTGAGTAGAAATGCGAATACGAAAAAGGACGATGACCTAAATTATCTACTTTCATTTCGTGCTCGAGCGGCCATTTTGAATTTCGTTTGTTGACTAATTCAATTGTTCAGATCGTATGGATTCATTCAAGTACAACTCACTTGTTCTAATAGAATCTAGATCTAGATTTATATAGATCATTGTAGACCTCAATGGAGGATTCATATTCCAATTCTATTGTGTCAAACCCTATCATAGGTTGTGCTGTAATATTAATGTTGGTAAAAAGCATTTCATCAGGTGCGTGAATTATTTATTTATTTAATAGAAAATCTAGAGTCTAGACTCAGCTGAGTCCCTCTGTTCGGAATCGGATGCGGATTTCTAGTTCAAGGCCTATTCCTATTCACCTGTTCTACAAGATCTATATCTAGATTTATTTAGATTACTAGATCTATATGGAGGATTCGTATATATTCCAATTCTATTGTGTTATTGTATCAAACCCTATTATAGCAATGTAGATGTAGGCCATTTATGCTCCTTGTTTGTTTTGGAGTGTGGTTTTTAAAATTTTAAAATTTTTTCATTTTGGACTTGTGCTGGCCTTTTTACATGAGGCCCGTTGCAGGTTCTTTTTTGGGGTGGGCCTAGGGTTAGGGTTAGGTCTCTTCTTTATTGTGTTTGTTGGGGTGGTCGCTCGTTACTCGGAAGTCCTAACTTATGACACCCACAAATGCGCAAAATTTTCAGACAATCTGGTTGAGGCTCGCATGCAGGTCTAATAAGTTGGGATATTTTTTTTACTCTCGACAATAAGTTGTTGTAGAAGCCTGCCAGATTGTGCATTCTGTGTACTTTGCCTCTATGCACCCATTGCGGGTCAGTCGGCAGTACACATTCACCAGCAAATTAGTCAAAATCTGGACAGTCATGAGAGCAAAACTTTCATGCAAGCTTCCTCCTTTCTTTCCTTCATTCTTTCTGTTTGTGTGTTTCGGAATCGTTGCTGTGACTGGGAAATCTGTATATTGATCAAGAGAGCTGAATTGTGGTTTTGGAAAGAAGATTATCGACAAAATGTTTTTATTGTAGATTTACCAAGTTCTAGTGAAGCTGTTAGTATGAGGTTACTATAGGAGTGGGGTGAAGGCTGTGGTGAAATAAATTACTACTAAAATCTAGAACAAGGAAGTGGAAGTAGTGCTCTGAGGTTGTGACATTTGACATTGGAATGTGAAAATGGAGGAACGGTAGGGTAAATAGGATTGTGATCATATTGTCAAGATTGATGTTACTGGATTTGCTTACTGTTTTTTTAATGGGTTTTTTTGTGTGCGTATAAGTGTTTTACAATGATCGCAACTGCATAAGATCATTTGAATGTGCAGGACACATGAAACATTTTTAGTTTGCCAAGAATTAATTTTGAATTTTGCCTGGGTGGCGGCCGAAGCATACTCTTACTGATTTTGGACCACCAAGAGATCTTAAAAGATGGGGAGTAGGAGGGTGGGGGCAGAAAGTGGAAATGAAAGCAGATGGCAGAACATGGCAAGAGAACAGGAAAGGAGAACATTTTAGAAAAGAATATTTTCTGTCGCTGTCAGTTTTCGAACTCAGGACCTATTGAATGAGAGGCAAATACCATAACATCTAGACCACGAGAGCCCCCTGCTCACTGTTAATGGTACAATAACTAATTGAAATATAGTAGCAATGGAAAGGCAAACTTGCTTTTATACGTTGCAGCAAGGGAAAGATATGCATCTAAAGAAATCTTTTGGGGGAAAAATAGATAATTTGGATTGTTGGCTATCTCTTCAAACAAGCTCCTCATTGTTTGTGTTTATTTTTTGACGTTTTAATAAAGAATAAAAATTTTAAAAAGCAAGTCCTGTTTTCTAAAAACTGGATTCACAATATCAGTTCCATTTGGTCATCTAACAGGTCCATGGTCGGCAGATTCAAGTTCAGAGCCGGTTGCCATGGACACCACATCAGAGCCGTGGGAGAAAGTGGTATCATCTGCTCCCACCAGCAGTCAGCAGGAGAACTGGGCAGACTTCAGTAACGTGCCCACCCAGTCTGGAAATCAGGACAACTGGGCAGATTTTAGCTGCTTCTCTGATATCCAATCCTCGTAAGCGAGCTAAGCACTTTGTTCTCTTGTGATTCAGTGAAAAAATGTAACAATTGGAAAGATTTTGTCTTTGTCCACTCACTCACCCTTCTAAATTGTAGAAGTTTCAATAAGTCTATCAAAACATAGTACTTACTGTTACAGAAGATTAGTCAGTATGATTGGATAATGCTCAGAATGCATCAGGTTTTTCTGGTTTGTAGTTATTGGTGTAGTAAATGTATTGGGTTACTTGTTTTTCATCCCCAGTGTCGTAAAAATCCAATTCTTAGACATGTTCACTTTTAAGTTATTCATAAGACTGAATTAGGCAAACACAAAATAAAATTTTATTTCTTTAAAAAAAATCAAAGAAAAATAAATGACTTTGACAATTGTGAAAAGACTGATAATATATTTCAAACCTGATGGGGAAACGTTTGCTTGAGTGAACCAAGTAATCAAGTAGAGACTAGAGCTGCAGGTTGTAAGTGTATCCTATAGTTGGTTGAAGATGATGATGAAGTTGTTTGATAGCATTTCTTTGACTTGCTTTTCATATAAATTTTCAGAAATGACCAGGGCCCCAGGAGTAGCTCTCCTGTTGAAATGGACACAACAGAACTTTCAAGAGGAAATGCTTATGGTGAGTTACTGAATGGATTTCTATTGGCTCAAACGCCTGAGTGGTTGGTGCACTCTGCAGGGTTTACTGCCAGGCCCTGGGGGTCACAAAATGATTTAGAAAAGAAGGTGAAGACCCGAAGATCTTAAAGAAAATAATCACTGAGACCCTGGAGCTATCTGGGATTTCAATGAAGTCAATAGATTGAATCGGAAAAATAGATTTTGTACCGGAGATTTTGAAAGCCGAGTCGTATATGGTCAGTAAGTTAATTTCTTGTCAGGGATGTTTGTAATATTCGTTCGCCGTTCCAAGTTTTGAGAGCGAGTTTTGTGTGAACCAGAGACGTAAAAAGATAAAAGGCAGTCTTCTGTCCAAATGTCAACATATTTGGTGATGTTGTCTTTTCTTTCACATTTGCTTACTGATTGTTGATGGAACTATATAGTGCCCCTTGCCCTATAAATAGTTTGTAAAGGTATGCCCTTGTATACTGGGCACAGTTTCTACTGGTTTAAATGAGGGTTAAGAATTTTTGTGAGGCTAATATGGCCGGGAAGGCCTCCTCTTGTTTGATATAATATAGGGGTTTTAAATTTGAGCAGTACCCAAAAAAAAATCAAAGTGACCAACAAGTGTTTTCACCTCTTGCTAAGAAGAGTATAAGCTCGGTCTACCCAAACCTGCTTATATTTCAAATGAATTCGCATCACGTGACGTGAGTTCCGTGTGTGTTAGGGACCGTCCGTTGACAGGTTAACTTAAGTTCATATACACTGTTTGAAGCGTTTTTCTGGACTTATGAGGGGGGGGGGGGGGGGGCACTTGGCGGAGGAGTACTTGAAGGGTTACTTCTGGATTTTAAAAAATAATGACAAAACACACAGATCTCGATTTTCCCCCCCCTTGAGATCCTGATTTTTAGATTTCACAGAGTGGCAAATCTGGAAAAGACTCCCCGACTTGTCCATGAATTATCTCTACCCCCACCTAATCAGGAAATATATTTTAAGTAGTGGTTTGAGAGTGAGAAATGAGTACCATATCTCCTTGCCATGGAGCCACCCGTAAGTTGAAACAAAAAGAAAGGTTACATGATCATGGAAGGAAGAGTTTGCATTCTTTGGGCTTTTGGTAGCTATCATGGATTTTATGAACTCATGGGTTATGCCCATCTTTTAAAAGCGGGCATGAAGGCTTATTTTTTTACTCAGACCTTTGAGTTGGTAAAGCATATGAGAACTGAATAATATGAACCGTCAGTCACAGGTCAATGGTTACCCAACTACATGTAAAAATTTTGATTCATAATATTCGATGCTATATATTTTTATCTGCCTTTCCATTTCAGTTGTGATGAGCAATAGCTCAGAAGAGAGGAAAGGGGACACGCCAAGCACTTTGTCAGTTACAGTTACCTTGCCAGGTGAGAGTAAGTATACATAAAATCTTGAAGCCAAGTTTGCCTCTGGACAGACCCATAGTATTAGCTCTTTTTCTTTTTCTTCTTTTCCTCTTCTTCCACTCCTCTGCTTCTTTCTTTTATTTATTTCTTTCTGTCTTTCTTTTCATCTTTCTCGCTTTGTTTCCTTCTTTCTTTCTTAACCTTTGAATCACAGCACGACGACTATATAGGGCATGAGCCGGGCTACCTGAGAAGCGTGACTGCCCCGAGTATAGGGCCGATCAACTTCGACTGGGAAGCGTACAGGACCTATATAAAGGGCATAAACCCTGACCTTCGTGAATGAAAAATTTCAGTGTTCCTTTTATGGTAAAGGATGTAGTAAATTGCTTGTGAAAGTTATAAACAGTGACCAACGCGTTTGCAACTTATTTTGAATTCGTAGTGCGTTCCATAGCCCAGATATCAATACTGATTGTTGACTTCATCGCGTTTTGCGCTTTGTAATTGTTTGATCGGTTATCATTTTAAAATAGTTCATTCTATCAGCTTTGAGAAAATTTATGGTTTTATATATCTTTTATCATTTGTTGAAGTGTAAATGGTCTATTTCAGTAGCAGGTATAAATCTCTAATGTCTCAGCTGATCATTCCCCCCCCCCCTCATATGTTTAAAACCGGTCGACCGTGGCGGCAGGGCATTTGAGGCAGGTTACTTTTTGTGAAACACTGCGCTTCCAGGGTTAAAGTAACATGTGTTTTTGACTGCACGCTACCCTGCCTGCCATTCCTTTTATAAGTCATGTGCAGTTTTGACACATCTGAATCAACAAATGTTCTGTAGAACGTACAATACTTGCATTTGGTCTCTCTGACCCCAGCAGATACATTTCCCTTTGTGTCATAGCCCTAACGTCATTTGTTAATTAACTCTCCTGTCAAAAGTTGACAGTATTTGAAGTAATGGCCTTTGATAAATGCCTGATTTTACTCTGATGCAACTCAAATATTCTCAGTAAAAGTGCTGGTTTTAACAAATTAATTTGTCAAGCAGTGGTCTTGCAGCAGTGTTTTGAATATGCTGAAGCATACTTTGCTTTTTGTGTCCTAGGTCTTCACATCTTTGACAACTTAAATTTTGCTTTCCCTTTCTGACTACAACGAGATCTATTTTTTTCCCCTCTCTGACATCTGTCATGATAACAGCTGCCTCACAGTCCAGTGACCTGCAAGTGACAGACTTGGAGTCAGAGGAGTCCAGTCAGCAGCCGGACTCCACTTCACCAAACCTCCAAGCAACGGATGACACCACCACTGATGCTGGACAGCCACTGCCTGACTCTTCTCCAGCTGACTCTCAAACTTCTTCCCCAAAACAATCAGGGCCTTCACCAGTAGATTCACAAGTCAGCAGGTAAAAGTGTTTGTGTGTGAGCACACGCGTGCACATGTTTTATACTTTGTTTGTACTCAGTGTATTTCTACCTCATCAGCTTGTCCTTTTGACATGAATTACTTTAATTGTATGGTAAATTTTTATTTTCCTAATTATTGATGAACCTGCCTTACTGGTCACCTCTCCATAGTGGTCACCTGTACTAATGGCCTCTGCTCCACGACACCCTTGGGATTTCCCAGCATTTTAAATATGTCCATAGCGGTCCCTGTCCAACGTGGCCATGGTTAATTGTTTTTTGCAACAAGTCGGTTTCAGAAGTTGCTCATGGCAGTTTTTTTGCCCTGAATGACAGGGTTGAAACAGTTGGCCTCCGTAATGATATAAATTGTGGTTGATGGGGGCATAGAACATTACAATCCTTACTTTCTTTTCTAACATTTCCCACCGTTGCTTCCTCACAGTACGTCGTCCGACTCTGGTTCTGGCAGTTGCAAAGCCAGTCTTGGAGAAGCGGAGCAGACAGGAGAGGCAGGAGCGGCCAGTGAGTCTGTGGCAGTCTCTCCTGGCTCATCCCAGGGCAGCTCAGTGGACGGGGAGTCCTCCCCTCGGCCCACCACCACCAGCACCAGCACTACCAGCAGCAGCAGCGCTGTTTCCACAGACAGCAGCATCAGCACTTCAACCTCAGGCTCGGACTCGTCTCAACCCACCTTGGGGACTGGGCAGGATGGTCAGAGGTAGGCACTAGTCACATGTGTAGGCGTTTCTTCTTGCATCAAGTCTGTTTCCGTCTCTTTTACTTCTGAGTAGCTCAGTAGTTTTTCTGTGTTGGGCATGGTGATTTTGTTTTTGGAATTTTTTTTTAAGGACAAAAAACAGGTAGCTTAGCTGTGTTGGGTTTTGTGCATTTGACTTTATAAAAAAAAATAACAACAGGTATTGAAATAATGGAACAAAACTCACGAGTATAGAGCTTTTTCTTGTCATATGGGCTCTAGGCGTTTCACAAAGGTGTCTAAGTGCCCTTTCTCAGAAGGAACTGCTCTTTTGGAGTTGTACACCTGGACACACACTTGCACTGACAATACACATCCACAGCCACATGCACCGATTCGAGCCCTTGCATTATTCCCCTTTGTATTATTTACCATGCACAATGTCACATTATTTAAAGCAGAGGTTTATCTATGGAGCCAGGTTTGTTTGAGAGAGCATTCAACGCTGATGGACATATACGCTCTTTACATCTTTGTCTTCCAATGAACGTATAATGGACAAAAAAACTCAGGGTTGTTAGATAGAAGTAGCATCTTTCCCTTTTATAAAGTTGGCAAAACAGGTAGACAATGAAATACTCTTTTAATGTGTTAGTAGTATTGGTTAGTATGTACAGGTATGAGGCCTCAATTTACCAAATTTGTAAACCTAAAGGTTTAATCAACAAGTTACTGTCAAAAGGGACGTCTTATCTTTCTGTCCTTCAAATGGAAAATCTTCACTGCCCCAGCCTATGTGGCTTGTGTCAAGTGACTAATGTTTACTTTTGGTGCAAGGGGATGACTATTTTTGCATGTTTCTGATGAAAAGTTTTGTTTGATTTGCTTGATGAGGCTGATTTCCTGGGTATATGAAATCAGCCTTGATGGGGAAAAGCATGGCATGGTGTTCTGCAGATGTGTAGAGGAACAGCATGTATTCAACTCTGCTGATGTGTATTTGGTTTTGAAAAGGGTAAAAAAGCAAAATATTATTTTTATGTAATAAGTTTGATTTGGGTGTATGGAGCAAGGCTGAGATGAATTGAGCCAACCACCTAGGCAGAGGATGAATAGTGCTGCCCAAAGTATTACAATTCTCTTTATGGACAGGGTCTTGTAGAGAGACAGATTTTAAGAAGAAATTACAGGCGTATGGAGTTTTTTTTAGGTGGTATGATCCTGAGCATGACTTCTGTTTAGTTTTGTGTGGTGCATGTTTAGTTAGTTTCAAACATAATAGATTATGGGGGAAAATATGTTTGTATGTCCTTTTGTTCCTAAGAGCATGGTTATATTTTATTTCTTGCTCCTTTGTGATTTTTGGATGTAACATATTTCTTGAGCTAAAAAATGGTAAAGTATTTTAGAGGACCAAATCAGCCACATCTGCAGTTTAGATGAAGTGTAAGTCTAGCAGCTAAATGACTTTTTTCCCCCCACACTGTGGCATGCTCACATTCTGCATTAGGCAAACTGAATTGGTTGAGGATGAGGGGGATGATGACCTCGGAGCCAACTTCAGGTGAGTTTGAAACCATTGGCCCTCTTCCCCCACCCCACGAGCTTAAACCCACTGTGTTGGTCATTGTAGCTGTGATGTGTTGTCCATCAGTGGCATCCATATGGCGTCCTAGCTGCTGTCCTGCTTGGCAATTTGTGATAAAAAATCCAGGTGGAGATAGGGTAAAGAAGTTTAAAAACAAAATAATCGTGGTTAATCAATCGTTAATGAAATTCTTTCGTGTTATTCTGTCTTGTTCTTTTACATTTTCTAAAGCACGTCTTTTTATTTGTGGTGTTCTTTTCTTCGAGGTCAATTCATGCCTATCTTGCAAATTGTGTTTAAATTAACAATAAGGTAAAATGCCATTTTTTGTTGTGACAAGATTGTTTCCAGTGACTGGGTTTGCTTTTAAGAGAAGGGGGAAGAGATTCCTCTCTGTACATTCTTCTCTCACAGCTCAGATCAGGGGCATACTTTCTGATCTTTCATACTTATGTGTCTCCTTGGAGCATAGAATAGAAGAAACAACTAAGAATCCCAGAAAAATTAAGTGGAGCAAACAGAACTCAAATCTGCCTGTGAGAAACCGCAGGTTCCTTGATCAGAGATGTCAGTCTCAGTCCCAACTTTTGCCCAATGTGGTGTTTGTATTTAGTACCTGCTACATAATAAAAATTATGTGCAACTTCTATTTTCCTTCCAAGAGGGTGATCAAAGTTAACAAATGTGCTGCGAAGAAGTAGGCAGGTGGATCACTGTGGAATGCTGCCCACTTCATTTGAGGTCTGGTCTCACCGCACTCTCTGTCAGTAACCTAGGGCAGAGAGAAAGCCACTCATCCATTCTTAGTCTTGGGTATAATGAAAGCTGAAGTGGTAATGTCCATGGCCGGGAAAAGAGAAATGACTTCTTGGTGTTGTAAGGCTGTAAAAAAGTGTGCGGTTTGGTATCAATAAAAGGAAAACTATTATTAGTTATTTGTTTGCTGATTGAGTCAAAGAACTGGGATAAATGAGCCTTGGCTTCCCAAGCCAGTCAGTCCTGGGCAATTGTCATGCACTCATCCAGCCTTCTGCCCAATGTCCAGTTTTAAATATCATCTGTCAAACGGAGTCCTGCTTGTTCACTGTGCCTCTTTTCCTTCTGCTCAATTTTCTATATTTACCACCAGTATTTATCATGTCTCATAATGTGTCCAATTTATGCCAGTTTCAGCTTTTTAGCTTATTTCAAGAGTTCTGGCTCAATTCCAAATTAAAAATAAGTTGTTTGCCTTCTACCTGCCCGCTGGTTTTGCTATCCTTTAAAAATAATTCAACTTATGGCTATAGTCTTGGTCTTACCAACATTCATGTTTTGTCCATTTTTGTTGCTTTCTTGTGTGACTCTCCACCTTTCAGTGTTTTTTGCCAATGTTGTCTGCATGACAAATGTTGTCCACTGATTGCAGTACTGCTATTTTGATCTGGTTTTCTCAAAATATAAAGGGTATATTATATATGTTGAAGAAGTAAGGTAATACATGTATTACGCAGCCCTTTTTCAGTCCTGTTTTAATTTCTGTGGGCTCGAATAGTTGGTCACCCGTTCTCATAGATTTTGTTCTATACTCTCTGTCCATTTCTGTGCTAACATGTGAAAACATTACACCATCTCTTGTTCCATTTTTGTCAGAGTTCTTTGCTAATTTCAGATTTGTTCGGGTTTCAATCTTGAAGTAGTCTGAGCAGTCCTTGGCTTTTTTGTCAACATCAATGTAACACTCAGGAATTTCTGGAATCTTAGGATATTCAAACCTGGTTTTGCAACTCAGACAAGTTTGAATGGCTTATGCTTGACTTCCCCATTATTTCTATTCCTGAGATGAAGAACTAGTGTATGAAAAAGGAAAAGGTCTATTCAGTGTCTATTCGCAATTGATCAAGTGGCACAGTTTGTCATCGTAACTTGATCTGCCTTAGAGGTTTAGGTGTTGTCGTTCACTGTTTCCATGAATGTGCTGCTCACGTTTGTATTCACAAGAGTATAGTGTATGTTTCATATTTGTACTCACTGCATATGTGCTGTTAACACCAGGTATAGCTATAATCTGTGGTGTAGAGTATCATTACTCTCAGCTTACTCAGCTGTTATATTTATATTCATAATGACAATCTCAAGTGAGCTGCATACATGGTTGTGGTATTATACAGTTTAGTCTAAAATTATTTTTCAACCAAACTTTCATACTTTATTAATGGTTCGTATATCATTGCTGGTCAGGCTTGTGCATCTACCCCTTTACAAACTATTTGCTTCTTTTACCTCAATGCGAGTACTGTAACTAAACTGATCTTTCTGTGTCAATGATGTCTTGAATGACATTCCTTGAAAAGCTTTTGTACTGTTACAGATGCTTTATTTGAATTTAGAAATTCACTCTGCTGGGGAAGGGCAGGGATTTAAGACAAGGATAATGCAATTCAATGAACTTTTTTACAATGTTTCCCTGTTTACCACCCAACTAGATGTGTGCAGGTTTTTAGCCTTCTTTTGTTATGGGATCATTGCAAATGTAAGCTGTGCTTTTTTTTTCTTACAGTGACTGGTTTTTTAAACGTGCCTTTGTTTATGGCCAATTCTATTAAGTCAGTAATATTTCAGCATTCAACCAAAACTGGACAACATTTTTATTGTATGTGTCAAAATATCATCTAGTGAAGCTTTCAGCTCACCTTTTGTGCCTTGGCGTATTGTTGATAATATTTTCAAGGATGATGGCGGTGTTGACCGTGGGTGGTTGGCGGATGCTCTGGTGTTGTTTGCTTCTTCTTTCCTATAAAACATCTATTGTCTTTATCTCCCCTCCTTCTTTTTTGTCTTTGTTACTCCCTTGTAACACCTCTAATCTTCGGCACTTATATGACCTTATTGTGTTGCAAGTGCCTTAAAACACTTGCTAAAACTTTTTAGAAAGTGATGTTGAGGCTGTAATGAATGTGTAGACCTGAATCATCGCTTTTATTTTTCAAGCTTGCAAGAGATAAAATTGTCACAACCGTGAGGGTTCTTAATAAGCAGAGTAGCTATCTATACTGATATTATTTGTGTCACAACGTGGTGGAACCAAGTGTTAGTCAATTTTTCGGAATATTGAGTGAATGGTATCATCTTAGAGCGTGTTCATTTGTCTTGCTTTTGATGAAAGAAAAATACCCATCTATCTAAAATATAAGTTGAGATATTTGGGATTGATGAAAGTGGGAGTTGCCTGGGAAAATGGCGGTCAAAGTTTGGTGACTTCCATTGCTTGAGTGTCCTTCGAAACTGAAAATTTATATTTGTTTGTGTGCTTTTAATCATTTTTCAGTGAAATCCACACAGAAATGGGAAAAAAATCTGTAAAAATTTCCAAACTGGAAAAATGCCACTTTCGTCAAACTCATTATCTTGACGAGTGCCTGATTCCACCACGATTCCACACATTTATATTGTCTCTAGCCTACTGCCCAGAATATGATGCACTTGATGGAATATTCGGTGGATGTTTCCTATAGCCTATTGCTTAGTAGGTAGTGAGTCCACTTCATACTTGTCTCACCAGAAATAATATATTGTAATAGCATCTTTGGTGTATGATATTTAATTTCCTTTTTTTAATCCAATGCCACATTCTTTGTACTGCATGAGCATTCTTCATGTGATTGTTCTTCAGATTATTGTTGTGTCACTCAGGCTTTAGAAAATGAGCCATTTGTCGGTTTTGGCAATTGGACACCTCAATATCTATCTGCATGTCATGTGTTTTCACGGTTGAGTTTTGGTAGATATCAAATGTCTCAAATAAGAAGTGAGTACACTTCTTGGCCGGTGATGTTTGAACCAACCAGTCTGCTCCATGACTTTTGAAAATCTTCCATGTGCTGGTAACTGTGAATACTTTATGGAATCCCACATCTTGTTTGTCTCTTGTTATGTGATTACTGTGGTAGTCTTGGAGTTATATAGAATGTGGGGGAACCCTATTTGGTTGGTTTGAAATGGTTTATGATGAAATCAAGCATGTATAAGTCAAACGATGGGTGAAAAATAGTCGTCACATAAATTATTTCTGTGTTGTCATAAATCTGGTGTCATTGTGTTCCTTGTTTTGTTTTTGCTGTGACAAATGAGATAAAATTTAATTTTTTGTATTTCAGATGGATTTATTTTTAAAAAATATCTTTAAAGAAATATATTTTTTTTAAAGCATTAAAAGGTTTTATTTGTAAGATTTTAACTTCAGAGCTTGGGTCTTTAAAAAAAAAAAAAGCTAAAGCATTCCATTTTCTTTTTATGTACATTTTACTACCTCAAGTCTGTGTTGCATGATTTGGCCGGAAAGGACACTGAGTTTGCAGAGGGCAAATAGACTAGAAAACATGATTGGTTGTGACTCTGGGGTTACAGTTGTATATTAGTTTTTCTGCCCATTCATGGAAGTTTTTAATGTGTCCTGTCCTTGGACAGATATGCTATGTTGTAAGAGATCGTAGTCAAGTTCCAATAGACCTGAGGGGTTCTCTGTTCAACTTGAACTAAAATTAACACAACATCGAAATAAGTGAAAGGTCTTAATGGGAGACCTGGGTCGCCGATCCCTGAGAAAATCCATAACATTTTTCAAAATATAGATTTTTTTTTTTTTTTTGCGGAAAAAACATCCTTTGACATCTGTTCTATCAGGTCACAATGACGGAATTGTTAAAGCGCATTTGAAAATCGTATATTGAACTAAAAGTCCTTTAAAAAATTCTTTTCTTTTCTGTTTTTCTCAAAATCTGCTTTTTGCTAGGAGTTTTCAAAAACTACTGGAGCGAGAAGCTTCAAATTTAGCATACAAGTGCTATAAGATCTATTCTGGGGATCTATGTGAGGAAATTGGGGAATATGGGTAACTTATGGAAATATTCAGATTTTTAAAAACTAACAGTTACCCCAAAGTTTTGTCAACTGACTCTCGGGGGTGGCCGCCATAGAGACCCATTTTTTCGGAAAAATTAACAAATTCACCCCTAGTACATCCTATTTACCTACAAACTTCTTGTACAATTACATGAAAGTGAATAAAAGTCATTCGTTTAGAAAATTTTTCCGAGAGTTTGCGTCTCCCCATAACTGCAACTGGATTTTTAGATGTTGTATGAGAAAAAAGTAAACACCGAACATTTTTTGACACTGCTGCTATTTCTTAGACAGTTTTGGTTTTCTTTTTCAGCTCTGTTGGTATTGTGAAGAGAGTGTCTCTCCTCCCCTCCTGAAAAAACCAAAAAACCAAACGTTTTACCGTGGGCTTACTTATCCGTTTGAATCCCCAGCTTCCTGGCTGCCTCAGGGTTGTTGAAAACTAGTCCAGTTGCTGCTGCTTGTCCCGTCAACCGACCAGTGACGGAGGGTCAGCAAAATGGGCCGTTGACGCCGCCATCCTCCCCTCCCCCAGCTGCTGTGGCCCCTCCCTCCCTGAGCCCGGCTCCTCCTCTTCCTATGACAGACGGAGATGCAGCCAGCTCAGAGCCGGACACCACAGAGGGTGCTCTCACCCCCGCCCAGAAACTGGAGCAGGCCAGGTACAAAATTTTTTTAAATGAATAAATGTAGGTGTTTTTATGCCGCCGTGAACACAGTTTAGATAATTTAACCCTCTCGGTACGCCCTGCGGTCATTTTGTACCCCCAGGGTTGTATTCTTCATATTTTAGAATACTTCTAGTACGAAGATCTCTTTGAAACTTTCAGTATTTCTCAAAAAATTATTTGACAAAACTTCTATGCACTGCATACGGATCGGATTAATGAGTAAATTTCCTCTTTGGAAAGTGGTGGCGCACGTATTGTGTGGATACGATAGTAAAACACTACGTACGGATAGGGTTAAAAGGCAGGCTTCCAACCCTGCCTTTCAGGGCTAGTCTGGGCTGAGAGGGACATAACATCCCAGCTGAAAGACTGAGGTACAGTGGAATCCTGTTATAACGAGAGAGAGGGGACCAGTGCCATATGTCCGTTATAGCAGGATTCTCGTTATACGGGCTCCAGTAATAAATTCAAGGGAAATAGCAAAGTAGGTCTAATCTATGAGTCTAGTTTTCGGTTTATGTCTTTTTGTAATCTCCCCTGAAGATGCTTTGGTTCAACTTGACCTTTAAGTCTTACTTGATCAGAAGTCGAATCAGGTTTCTTTCTCTAGCGCTAGCTATGTTGCTCGGCGTAGGCGATCAGAAAGAAAGTACTCTAGACTAACTCGCCCGCTGTGTTTTCCCCCACCCCACCACACCCTGTGGTGCGTTCCGTCTGCGTGTGCACAATGAGAACATACCACACCCCCGCCCACGTCACACATTCGCTCCGTCTATCACCGTACAGCACTATGACCTCTCCATCCCCGCATCGGAGAAGTGAGAGGCATGGTAGGCCTAGATACTCTAGATTAGGCTGGCCTATCACACGATGCGTTCTGCTTGTCTGTGCATGCCACACTCTCCCCACTCATTCAATCAGGCCTTCATTGTTGGCACATGTGGGCTCTCCCATTCTTTTTTTCGAAAGATAACTAACAAGTTTCTCAACTGTCAAGGTTTTACATGAATAAATGGCCTATGCGCTGTGCACAGCAGCAGCAATATTCCGCTATAACCGACTCGCGAGCTTGTCTGCTTGCGTTATAGCAGTATTTTATTTACAAAGATAAAGAAGGGGGAACTTCTCGTTATTTTAGGACTCGTTTTAAGTGGATTCTACTGTACACAATAAGAATTCTCCACACTTGAGAATCGAATTGGGGTCTCCTGCATGTGACATTGAAGCGCCTAACCCCTACACTACCGACACCTGTCAGGCAGAGAGCATTTATCTACCTCTGATTTCTGTCTTGGTGTAAGGGCTGAGGAGAGACTGAAATTGAAAAGGAGGTCCAACTAAAGACTTAAGATAGTTCAATTTTAGTTAACGAAATGAACCATGATACATTTTTTTTTCCTGTTTTAAAAATTAATGACAGATGAACTTGTGATGATTTTTGATAATGCATGCATTGAGAATTGACACAGTACTGTTGAATACCTTTTAAATAAAAGAAATGCTTTGCGGAAAATTGTAAATACAGTTATTTCGATTTTAAGCAGGTTATCATTTTTCAACTGTTATTTTACCTCTAGTTTTTAGCATTTTAAATCTGATCGTTGACCCGAGGCCAACCGTGCAGTGAACTGTTGTGAGTGCAACCAACTTGTGTTTCATGCACTCATATGACATTATGCAGTTGCGAGCGCAGTAAAACTCTTTTACTAAAACTAAAATAAAAGAGTGTCTATAATTTCCATGCCATGGAATAGATTGGAAGATCACGGGTGCAGTTGCTGAAACCTGTAATTCACCTTGGTGGTACATGTCGGGTTGGTCTGATGTAACAGTTCTCTGTTAAAAAGATAAGTTTAGCAGTGGCTTTGGACTTGTTAGTTGAACACTGGTTTTTCTCATGGGCATTTCATATAGGGGAATTTTTATTTCTTCCAGATCAGTATCTGCCTCAAATATGAGTTAATGTATGGCTTCAGGCCAGATAGGGGTGGTTGTAGGACGCCACTGGTAGGTCCTACTTCTTTTTTCTCCCCCTCTTGTTTCTACGTGTCTTACTTTTCCCCAGCATTAAGTGACCGTTATTGTATCGACGTGCTTCTCTGTACTCAAACAAACAGGTTACATTGCAGGTTTTCTTCTGACTCTCCTCCACAGAGCTCAAGCAAAAGAAGCCCAGGAGCTGTACGATTCTGCCACAGCGGTGATGCACAACGGCCCGGTTTGACAAGAGCTACAAAGCTAGACGTGTTGTTTTCAGTTCCTGTCAAGTTCTTCTTCCCTCCCCCTCCACCACCTCTAGAAGCCTTGTACTGACAAGACAATGATAATTAAGCAGTCAATGCACACTCGATGGTGAATTGGTCTTTGTTGACTATATATTTTTTCTTCTTTTTTAATATTGTTTTTCACTGATAAGAACCCTCTTAATTATGAGAAATGTAAAAGGTTTTATGGTCAGGGATGTTAATGTTGAAGTGCTCTTTGAATGAGTTGTTTCAAGGAAAAGGATAAATGGAAAACTGATAAATAAATATTAAGAACAGAACGGGATTGTTATTGTGTGGCCAAAGTTCTGTTCCTGGAGACAGAGACTGACTCATGCACGTATTAAAGTTGTCAATAGCAATCCTCAGAAGGACAGTTCACACTTTGCTGGAGTGGTTCACTTTCTAGTGACAGGCGGCTTCTTGCAAGTCATTTCTGAATGCGGGCATGTCCCCACATTATTATGAGGTATACGAGGCAGATAGTCTGTTCAACGCCTTGGAGGGTTGCTGCCTGTCAGCAGTGTGGTTGTACAAGAATGTGATCGCGAGTGTCAAAAGACTATTCAGAGTACAGTTTGTCGACGGAAGCAGTCACAAACTCAAGTCTGTGAAGTCTGAAATAAAAGTAAAGTTTTTTTTTTTTTTTTGAAGAGTTTGGAGACCCTCTTGATGTAGTGCAAGTATACTGAGCGAAAATTACAAAGGATGGCTTTATTGCAAAATGTGTACATATTCTGTTTTCTAGCTCGCTAAACACTGGCATACTGGTTTCCTTGGAAGTAGTATTTTTGGAATTGCATGATTTGGAACTGCGACCATTGATTTGTGAGTGGTATATTTTTCCTTGGGAAGATCAAGTCACTCGAGCCTAGTGCAGAGGGATGAAGATTGTGATCCTGAAATAAATTACTGAACTCCAAAGGATTTTTGTTTGTACTTGTTTGTCTCTTTGTAATTATTTAAGGGCAGAGTGTTTAGAACATAGTTTTCTGCTTCATGGTTCTGTTTGGTTTGTTAAAAGTTTGACATGGTATCCACGGTCATACAACAAGACATGCTCTCACATCTTTTGTGGACAAATCGCTGAGTTGGATGCTTTTGAGGTTACGCTTGGATCAATTCATTCACTTTTTAAACTCAAATAAATGATAATATATGAAAAAAATGGTGATGTAAATCGTAGTAAATCTGTCCTGTAATCTGTTTTCTCAAAATTTACGCTTTGCCTGTATGTGGCAATGAGGTCAGGACTTGTGTATTTTTACACGTTCGTGTTAGTGTTTCTTTGGAAAAAGACAATGATAGTTGTAGCCATATACAAAGATTGTTAGGCCACTGTGCTCACCGTCTGTTGCTAGGTCATCGGGAATGGCTGAGGGACTGGAGAGTCCCAAAAACTGCGTGATCTCCTCCCCTCACGATGTACAGCTCCCTGTCTCAATTGCGTTCTACCCCTCCCTCCTGTTTGGCTGTTCTCAGGGCTTCAGTATGTCTACTCCCTGTTCTGCTCTCTGTGTAGCCAAGTCGGGCTGACGTCACTTCAGTGATGGCATTCGAGGACTTCATTATTTTGTGAGGCGCTATATTTCTTCTTTTTCTTCTCAAAGTTGGACTGGCATGAACAAGGGTTTTGCCATTTTGAAAGCAAGCATTGTCATGGAGTGCTTATATTAGCAAAGCATATTGTCAAGGAATTTTTTTCTTCCTCCCCTTATTTTAAGATTTAAAAATGTTTATTCATGTTTGTACCCAGGTTGCTTGTCATTTATTCTTTTCATTGCAGTATTTTTTTGTGTGGTTTTGATTTAACCAATATATATTCGTATTTTTGTTTGTTTTAAATGTCTCTGAGAGCTATTCCATATCAGTTGACTGGCTGTTGCAGAGTACTTAGGGACGATGGTGAACAAGTGTATACAAATCATGCCTTTAGAGGAGCTGAGTTATTGAACAAGACACAGTGAACCACACACGCTGAAAGTTTGTGAAGTTCAACTTTCATAGCTACATTTTTTACATGGTCTGACGAACATGAGCATAAAATTTAAGATCCATAGTTTTGTGGGGATGTGTCATCTAAATGCATCAGGTTACAATTCTGTGCTGGTGACAAAGTATGGTTTTCTTCGCTTTTGTTCTTATTTTCAATTTTCCCCATTAGAGAATCCATGCAGGATTTTGGGATTTCAGAGTTAGTGGAAAATTTACCTCCTTGTCCTGAGTCTTCCTCTCTCTCTTGTTCTCTCTCTCTCTCTTTGCTTTTCATTTGCCATAAACGATACCCTGTTTCTACTTTTATTAATGATAGTTAGAATTAAGGTATATGGTCCCATTATCTCCTTTCCAAAGAAGCAAAAGCGAAACTGGATATTGTGTTCAAAGCTCTAACGATGGTAGTCGAACACCAACTTTAGCCAAGCATGGCTTTCGATTTATAATGTGACAGTCAGTACTGTTATACATATATATTTAAAAACAAGTTGTTAATACATGTTAGTCCATTTGTTTTCAGAGGGTTAATATTTGTGCCAGTACAGTTTTGGATTATTGCACCCGCATGGAAAGTTGCATTCAAATCTTTCCAATAACCTACCCTATCGAAAACAGAAGAGGTACAATAATTCAGTTCTCGTCAATGTCTAGGTGATAACTATTTTAGTTCATATTCCAACTTATTGGCTTTTGTTTTGGTGCTAAGAGGGTAAAAATTAAAGGGTTGTCAGTTTGTGGTTCTAATTTGTTGTCTTGGTAATGACATGCATTTCTTTTCCATCACTGTTATAAGCAGAAATGGAAAAGAAACTGTTGTAAAGATTTTCCATTTTTTCTCTGTCCGTCATTTGATAAACACAGAACTTTCTAAATCTTGTAGTGTAGCTATGGTAGAATTGCTGTGAAGAAATAAGGACAACAAAGCAGACAACTAACATGGAGTAGAGAAGCTCTGTACAGTGGGTGTCGCATTCAACGAGGTTGCCGGCACCAGTTTGTTGTCCTCGTTGGATCAGATTTCTCGTTAACAACGTGACTAAGGTTAAAGAAAAGAAAGGAGACGAGTTATTAGATTACACGATGTACCAATACCAGTAATTAAAACAGTTGTTCCCCCTCATTTCTGCATTTTTAGGTTTTTTTTAGAACACTTCTCGTGTGGAAACGTTCCCTCTCACATCTAAGCCTAGATCCTCATAAAGTAAATGCGAGAGGTTGGATTTTCTGATCAGAGGAAGAAAAGAAAATTGAAAAAAAAAAAAATGAATAGATCGAGACCTACCCATCCAGAGGTCACCCAGTTTCACACAGTCCGCATCGCGTTCACACCCACCACCTCCCCTCCCTACCGTAGACTAACCCTCACCCGCCCTCTTGGCTTTGGGGCCCATATTAGGAGGCACACTAGAACTAGCAGTACAATGTGTTAAGAATCGAGGATGGGCCTTGCGCTTCGCGTGAGATTGTGAGAAAGGAGAAATATTTTTCGATTTTGGGGGCCGCTAGTTGCTTTTATTTGGTTATCGCGACCTCGTTGAAAGCAACTTCTGTCTGTTTGCAACCTCGTTGGAGCTGATGTACATTTACAAAGAGATATAGAGGAAAAAATCGGGGATTAAGGATTGCCTCGTTGGAGCCGACTTTTTGTTGAATGTGACCTCGTTGAATGCGACGTCCACTGTACTGCTGTAAGCCGACAAAACGCCTTCTTGTCTTCACAGCAGTTTCATGAAAAAGATGTTTTGTCAACGAAACCATTTAAAAATAGCGTTCTTCTGAAATCTGAATTCTATTTTTAAAAACTAGTCACAGTTTCACTGATTTTTTTCACACAAGTAGAGTAACTGATCAGGCTTTAAACTGCTTTTGATTTAGCTAATTTAAAATAAAAAATATTGGTGCCAAAATGAAAAAAGGCTTTTTGTCAGCTTACGGCAGAGTAGTGGGTGGCCTGTAGTTGAGGATCAGTGTGAATTTTCACTTGCTTTATATGGTTTGGTCTGTTGAAATGTACTACTTTTGATATATGTTCCTGCTCACTAAAGCTAATGAATATTGTTTTGATTGATGGACTAGAAAAATATGTTTGACCAGAGGTTGGAGTGTTTGGGGCAATGTTTTATATCACTCTGCAAGATAGTTTGCACCATTGTTTTGCACAGTTGAAGTTTTAGAAACTTTCAGTCCTGTTTATCAAGGAAGCTTTTTTTGGAACTCTCAAGATACTTCATAAATGACTTGTTGCACAGGACAGTTGATTGCAGTGTTTGAGTGGGAAACAATGCTGGTGGTTTAAGAATTTCTCAGTGCTGACACCCTTTCCTTCAACAGTATACATGCCTTTGTTACACAATGGAGATTAAATTAGCGAATTGGGAAAAAAAGACCATGTTTAGCTGATCTGAATTGTGTTGCTTTTGAGACCAGCTTTTCCGCTGACCATTATAATTGTCTAATGCGCTTTTCTTGACTCAAACTTAAATCGAACACAAATTCTTCCTTTGAAAAAAAATATTTTTAGTAATGAGGTGAGTGACATGTGATGCAGTGTGACCGATTGCGAGAAAGGAGCTCTGTGTTACATGGCAGTGTACAGAAGGGATAGGTAATGGGGGAAGAATTGCCTGTTGTTTGATGACACAGTGGTCGACAAGGAAGTTTCTGGCTGTACACCTCTCTGTCGTTAGTGTCATTGGTTGCAGCCTTTGATTTCTTCTTCTAATCTAGAGCAATGATCTCGAAGCGTTGATTTGTTGTTGTTTCATTACTGTTAAGGATAATGCAAACCACATTGTTTAAGTGTGCTTTTTGTGCAAAAGTGGATTTACTTTTTTACTCATAGTAAAGGTACTCGGTAGTACAAACATGGCGCATAAGCTGACTCACAACCTTCCGATGGGTGGTTTGGGGAAAATTTAGGAATTCAGAGTGCTGTTTCTTTGCTCTGTCGATGTAAAACACCAAGTGCTGAACATCATGAAAAAGTTCTGCTTTTCCTCATTACAATGGTGTATTGCAAGTTATTTGTATATTTGTGTATTTGGAGCTGGACAACGGCTGCCCCATTTTCTTTAAAACTGACTGAGAGATAGAGAATGATTCCAAAATTCTCAGGAGACACTGACCTTCCAAATGGACAAATAAATTTGTCATACAGCATTTTGGAAAGTTTAGTTTCTGGTACCAACTCATATGTTGACTTTTCTTTGGACATTTCATTGCGCTTTACCTTCATGTGCTAGGTGTACAAACCAAGGGCATAGTTCTGTTCCTGGAATGGATGCTCATTTGCAATATAAATATAGGATGCATGCACATGTTTGCTAGGGCTAGGTGTATAATTAAAGATTAGAAATAATTAGGTTCTCGTTTTCATGTTTGTGGATTTCCCAATTTTTAGACAAATGTGCCCTCAAGTTATGCTGTATAGTTATGATAATAAGGTCAAAATATAGATAGTTTATAATAGTTTGAATGTCATAGTAAGTTTGTATGAAATATTTTATATTTATTTTCCCACTTTCTCCTTGAACTTTTCATTCTCCAATAGTTTTCCTGCAATTGTAACATTATATTTTGTAGTGCGTGTGGGACTCTAGTCCCACTCCCTACCTCAATTATTATATAAGCAAATGGAAAAGAAGTCTTTGTTATCGTTTTTCTTTTTTGTTTTTCCTAATCTGTACACAGAGTAAAAAGCAGAATTAGGCTGCACCAAGTAGAGAGCAGAGGAGAACATACATGCGTTTATTCACCGGTTCTAAAGGCAATAAATCAATCTTGCTCTCTCTTTCCTATGCTAATGAATTTGTACAGGATCATTGATGGCAAAGGTAGAGCCGAAGAGAGGGAAAGTGTAGATGTTTCTGCTGTACTTAAAGTGGCAGTTGTGATGATTCACTCGAATTATGATGTATATATCGCTGCATGTTAAGTTCCTATTTATATCTAGGTTTTTACATTATTTAATATCTACCTGTGTAAGTTGTTCTGTAATTGTGGCATTTCTGACCTTCAGGAATGGGAAGTAATTGTAGGTGAATTTTTAGCTGTTTAGTTCCTGTACCCTATTTTTTTTATGGTAAGTCTGCAAAATGTCTGTACAGTTTTGTGAAAACTTGGTTACAGATATGGCAACTCTTTGCAGTGCTCTTTTTCCTTTTGGAATGGAATCTTCACCTAAAATTAACAGCACTAATTTGTCCCATAGAAAGTTTGCGTGCAATGTCCTTCACAACTTTTCTGTTTGAACTGTAAATCTTTACGTCTAACCTACCCCTCAGCCCACACCAGCAGTTTTGTGTTTATGATGGTGGGCAGTGTTGTTACATATATATATATAGACTTCAGCTTCCTTGCTGTCACACACAGCAGTCTGCGCGGGTTTTGTTAATGTGATTTGTTTTTTTTTTCTTTTAGGATCTGTATAGAGCAAGAGTGTTTGGTGTGAAGAACAGACTGATGAGGGCTGGGGGTCTCCTGTGATTTGTGCTGTTACGTATGTCTGTGTTGGCAGATATAAGTCTCTTTCACAGCGCATGTACATATATCTTGTCTGACTTTACCCTCCCATACCTTGTCCGGAAACACACACACACACACACACACACACACACACACACACATGCGCGCGCAAACACACCCACCCACCCAAACCCAATTTTTAAAAACGGGCGAACAACAGTTACACTAGTATGATGCCTCAGTGATGGTAATAATGCTGATATGTAATGATTATGATTTTGAATATAACAGCTGCTTCCCAATGAATCTGAGCATCTCTGGTAACTAAATTGAGGATTGTGTACCTTCGTTTTTGTATTTGATTATGACTTTCAGCACAAAAATACCGGTTGAACATGTTTTTTTGTTGTGTGTGTGACATCCCAGCTATTTTGGGTTTTTTATTATAATTATTATTTTATTTTTGGGGGGTTTGTTTGTTCAGTGATAACAGGAAAAATATATTATGCATCCTGCAAGCATTAATTGACATGTCCACTTCAGTTTCATACTGTCTGTTGCAATCATTGTATGTGTGTGCTAGAGAGATATCGAGAGTGGTAGATTTGTTCCCCATGTGAAATCCAGTCAAATGTTGAAAGGTCTGGGTGAAAAGTACATTGTAACGGGTGTTGAGCTGGGGTCACTTGTCTATTATTTATGTCATCATAGCTGGATTGTTGTGGACTGGCACTCCGTATGCTCAGCTCGATGCTTCAGTTGCCTAAAGTGGTCTAGACTTGGTCAATGATAACCTAATACACACAGGGCAATGGCATATTAAGTTTGTAATTCATGTGTGCGTTTTAGTCTTGGCGATGTTGTTTATTTTATGACTGGCATCTGCTGCATATCCCTATCTGATTTGATTATGCAGATATAATTCAGTTGCATACTTGGACATTGGACAGGGTGTTCTTCACGACAACTGGTTGGTTATATTATGGAAAAATGATTTCCTGCTGTTGAATGTGTGAGGAATGCTGGCCTTGACAAGTAGGAGGCAAGCAACAAATCCCCCCCACCTCACCCACCACCTGCGAATGGGATTCTCAGCTGTTGCATTGTTTGTTGACAGTGGGCTGTTGTAGGAACCAGGGACCAAAGTTTGAAAGACACTGCAACCCTCCCCTCTGTCGCTGTTGCTCTAGTCTTGCGAGAGGTGGGGTGAGGGTTGAGCGTTATGAGACATCCCACTGCATCAAAAAGTTCACTGGGTGTGTGTATGTGTATTTGTGTGTCTGTGTCTAGAGAGAGAGAAAAGTATTTGTGTGAGGGCTGGTGGTATTTTTTTTAATGCCTGAACTTGGTAAGGACAGATTTTTTGAGGTCCTTGATTTAGCTGGGGTGTTGTTAGCATTCATTTAAATTTTGTTTTCATAACTTGTGTCTTCTCAAGCATTTTTCACTTCCCCTCCAGAGTTCACCTGGAAAGGGGCCCCATGAAAGATATCACGGTGCTTTGCTGCTAATTTTAGGCTCTCATAAAGTTGAACTTATATTTTTTTTAAAGAGTTTATTGGATCATGTGGTTTTATAAAATTACATTTACCCTGCAGCTTCCATTCGAGTCTTTTTGATTTGAATGTAAGCACACGCAGGAAGGTCTAGTATCGTTCAGTGTTTTGATCAAATCTGGGCAGAATGATGGCCCCTCCCCCGGCAGTGCACAAAAAGCACACTGGCTATGTGCCAAATAATGTGTGGGTTTTCTCTATCAGTGCATGGAGTTGGACAAAATTAAAGAGCAGTCTACGAACATGCATGGCTTTGAGTGTTTTGGCTATGTGATTCTCTCCAAGCCTTGGAAGAAAAAATTTATCCTGTTACAGTCGGGCACAGATATCGCAAACACTGAAGACTCGAAAGCATAGACAGCTCATACAAGTTGCCATTCCCTCTATTAATGTAATCTCTTTAATTTTCCGTTATCGGTTAACCCAAATTATGGATGTGATGAAGACATTTGTTAATCCCCAAAGTGCTTGAGTTATCCGTGCCGGACTGTAAATGTGGCTTGAGTGAGTTCCCCCCCCCCTCCCTTGTCTCATTTGCTGTGTTATGTTGGAGTGTGTGTTTGGAGTAGTTGTGGTTTTAGGTATGTTAAATGCTGGCCAAAGCCACTAGTTGTTACACTTTGCATTGAAGGTTCCCCTGGACTTGACCAGCAAAAGCTCATGTTTCGTGGCATTCCGGGAATGTCCATTCATCGGGGCACAACGTTTCAAGTTTTGTGTTTAATGTTGGTCACCCACACTGCATCATGATTTCTCTGGTCCCCCCCCCCCAACTCACATTGTCATAACCTTGCCAGTCCTGGTCCCATTGTCATGTGAATTTTATAATTTTATGTTTTAAATTAAAGAAACCCATTATTTTTTTGTTGATTGAAAAGGTTTAAACACTCATAGATTTGTTGCTAGTGCCTTCCAAGATGTTGGGGCAGGTGAAGAAAGTATTCAGGAAATTTATCAGAGGCTAAGTTGCTGTGTTTAAAAGAAGTTTGAGAAGGAATGTGCAGGTGTTCTCCGTACTAAAAACAAATAATAGCTCCTGCCACCCCCCTCCCATTCTTAATATTAATATTATATACATATATTATATGTCTGTGTTTTTGTCACAAGGTGGATACACACTCCCTTTTACACGGGGTTGCATTTTTGTTTGGCTTCACTGGAGAAGTGTAGTGTGTGCTGCGCTGCCGACTCTGCTGATATTGTGCTTGCATACGCAGCAAGGTGGGGGCTGGCCTGCAGCAGAGTTGCCAATTTCCACAACTTTGCCATTGTAAACAGACGTGTTCAGTGAGTGTGGAGGTTGTTTCTGCACGTTGGTGTGACTTGAGGATGTCAATGTAAATCTAATAAATAGTAGTTGAGATTGTGTACATAGAATATGTTAATTAAAAAAATGGAAGATTACAGTACAAAATGTTGTCCAGCTTCATTTATTTGCTTCATTTGCTAGATTCGATGGAGTGTCACTTTTCTTTCTATTCTTCTTTTCTTTGTATATATTACTCTACTCTCTAGGAAAACCTCTAATCGTCAGCACTTCTATGACTGATTTGTGTTGCAATGGCGGTAAAACTTTTACAAAAAAACTAGGCCTGCTGGTCTTTTTCCAAACTTCCAGTGATAAAGGTATTCATAACTGGTGTTTGTGGTGTAGCAGTTAGGCGCTTTGCTGTGGTGCACAGCAGGCAGGAGACCTGAGTTTGATTATCAAGTGAACATTTTTATTGAGTATCTTGGTCTTTCTGCTGGGATATAGACTGGAACTAGAATCCCTCTCAGGTCTCAGACAGGGTTGGCCCTGACGGGCAAGGTTGAAACCTGCCTCCTAAAGGATTAAACCATCGATGAGGGGTGTTCATGGAGGATTCATAATTCTTTCAAGAAATTGAATAGAATTGGGGAGAGTAGGCACCCTTGTTTATTTCACACTCTCCTGCTATTGTTTGAAATATAGACCTGTCCTGTGTCTTGTCTATGATGATTGAAAGTCGCTTCTCTGCTGTTGCTCACTGGAGACTCGAGTTCGGTTATTGAGTGGGGAGAGGTTTTTGTGGAGTATCTTGGTCTTTTTGCTGGGTTTTATCCCTCACTCTCAGCCCAGGCTGAATATTATGTCAATGAGGACTTTAAAACACTTCCATTATCATTTTTTAAAAATATCTGCAAGGATTGAACAATCTTGCATTGTTGTAAAATAAGTAAAGTGCCGTTAAGTGTATTATGGTGTCAATGAGCCTTGTTCCATGCTGAATTCTGAGGATACGTCATAGACCCTTATTCCAAGGAGGGCCTTTCTGAAGTCTTTGATGATGAAATTGTGGAAGAATTCTCTCAGGAGGTGGAGCCATTTCTCCATGAGGAGTTTACAGTTGTAAACTTGTTCCATGGTGTTCGATCCTTGAATGAAGCCGCCCTGTTCTTCGCTTTAGTATTAATTCTTCAATTTGCGGTTGAATTGAAGGCTATTTAGCTTTTTAGGATGACATGGAGCATTGTCTTGATTGGATTGCATATTACATGTACTAATTACATATTAGGCTGATTTTTTTTGGCATTGGCATGCTTCCTTTTTTTGGTGTGTTGGGGGGGGGGGGGGGGGTTACAAGTAGGCTACAAGGAATAAGGTGAATTCTGTCGGCCGTTTCTGTTGACGTCACTTTTTAAGGCAAACAAAATATTAGAAGTACCGTACATCATCGTGAAATCGACACGAAGCAAGTTCTCCCCGTCAAAGACGGCTGCAGTACACTTCTGCCGAACAGGCAGACGTGTGCTGCAGCCGGATTTGACACTATACGGGGAAAGGATTCCCGTCCAGGACCAAGCTCGTTTCCTCGGCGTCATTTTCGACAAAAAACTTACATTCATACCACATATCAAAGACCTTCGTGTGAGGTGCCAGAAAGCGTTAAACTTTTTGAAAATTCTATCAAATCCGGAGTGGGGCGGGGACTCAAAACACCTTCTCCACTTGTACATCTCCCTTGTCCGGTCCAGGCTTGACTACGGCTGTCAAGTCTACGGATCGGCAAAACCACACGTCTTAAAAATACTAGATCCAATACAAAACCAAGGACTCCGCCTCGCTCTGGGGGCTTTCCGCACTTCTCCGGTGGAGAGCCTCCAGGCCGAGGCCAACATACCACCACTCTCACTCAGACGCACACAACTCTCACTACAATACACAGTTAAACAGAGCTCAACACCGGAAAATCCAGCGCACAACAGCATTTTTCAAACAAATCCAGAAACCATAAACAGATTCCAAAACAACGAAAAACTCATCAAACCTTTCGGCCTCAGAATCCTTGAGGACCTCAAAAACTTAGCTCTACACTTTTCCAAACAAGACATCCAACAAATTCTTTTCCCCGACCTCCCTCCGTGGCACCTCACCAAGGCAAAAGTAGATTTACAGCTGACCACACACAACAAAGAAAGCACAAACACCAAAACTTTTAAAGCAGAATACAAAAAACTAATAGATAAATAGGCCTACCCCGGTGCGGAGCTCATCTTCACGGATGGCTCCAAAAAAGACAATGAAGTGGGCGCCGCAGCCCTATCTCCCAACAATACACACCAGAGGAGACTCCATCCTGAAGCCTCCATTTTCACTGCGGAGGCCACTGCCATTGACATGGCACTGAACTCCGTAGAAAATTCTCCTAACAAATCTTTCCTTATCCTTTCTGACTCTCTGTCTTGCATCACCTCACTCACAAACTACACACTCTTAAACCCAAAAATAGTTAGGCTACAACAGAAAATCCATACACTATCCGAAACAGGAAAAAACATGTTCGCATGGATACCCAGCCATGTGGGCATCCGAGGAAACGAGCAGGTAGACGAACTGGCGAAGAAAGCTTCATCCCTTCTGCTGGGATCAACGACAAACACTCTCCCACAGACTGACTTTAGAAATAAAGTCAAAAAGTACTCCTCCAGTCTGTGGGAGAGCCACTGGGAAAACCAGAAAAATAATAAACTATACGAAATAAAACCCAAACTAAAACAGCGAAATCCTTCGGACCTCTCCAGAAGAGACGAAGTCATTTTTACTCGATTGCGCATCGGACACACGGCCCTGACCCACAAATACCTCCTACAGGGAGATGAGAAGCCGTTCTGTGTCGGATGCGACACAGATTTTACCATTAGACACATTTTAACAGAATGTCTAGACTTTGGAGAGATCCGAAGGAAATATTATAAATGCAAGAAATTGCAGGATATTTTTTCCGTCGTTGTTCCCAGCAGAATTTTAAATTTTATAAAGGCCATTGGCCTTTATGGCGAGTTGTAGAGTGAATTTGATATTATTTAAAATTTTTATTGTTACTTAAAAGTTGTTTTAGATCACACATGTATTTACACCGAATTTGAATATTTTAACTTTTTAGCATTTTAAAGTAAATTAGTTAGCCAGTCGTGAAGTGAACTTTCGCAGAGGTGAACAACTTGTGTTTCGCGCGCTCATATGACCTTAGCAGTTGCGAGCGCTGTAAAACCTTATACTATACATACTATACACGAAGCAAATTTTATAGGAGAGGGAAAAAACTGATTTTCTCCCTCATTTGGCGTACGTTCAATGGATTTTAAAATGTGTGAGCACATGTCTGTATTTCGTCCGAGTTGGGATACATGTCGTGCTCACACGCACGCACACACTCACACACACACACACTCACTCACACACACACACACACACACACACACACACACACACACACACACACACACACACACACTCTCACACATACTCATAAACTTACAAACTTTCTGTCCCCGTCGTTTTACGCCCAAAAAATTATTATGAAATTATGCAAACAGCCTAAAAACGTGAAATTATGCGATTCTGTTAATTTTAACAAAAGATGATAAAGGAAAAAATCAGAAATTCTGCACACAAAAAAAAAATTGCTAGATTATACGGGGTACATGAAACCACGGGGACAGAAACGTACACGCACACCAACACACAGAAACACATTTACATACTCACGCACGCACACACTGTGCGTTGGCGTTACCTCGGAGAGTGTCGCATAATGATTGCTCTGATTTGTACGGAACAGTAACATGTCAAGGGCAGGAACGCAACATTAATGAAGGTAGTCATATGCCTGATGTTGACGGCTTACTTCTTCTAGAGTACACGTTAAAAATGACACCACCAATAGCTTGATAAATTCCATAGATCTATAAATCTATACGAAAAATGGGCCAACGTTTCACAAATATCATAGTATATCGTGTTAATTAGCCTCATTGTGAGTTCAATAGGTAAAGGCGTTCGTCTCCAGGACCTACTTACTACCCAATGCCACAAACAGCAGTTTTCCAGTGTGATAATTTAATTAAACATGAAAGGGTATTTTAATGTGTTGGCCTTAATTAAAATACATTTTTTTTGCTAGTTCTATCTATATATTTTTACTTTGTAAACTTTAAAAAAAAACGTTTTTTTTCTTCCACTTGTACCGGTGGGTGTCGAGGGGAGACAGGCGTCTGTTTGCAGCAAGGCGAGTGGCCTGTTGGAGGGACTTCCCGTGAGCTCTGAGGGTGTCTGCCACAGATTCACTCCTTCGTCGCCTTGGTCTTTCTCTGGCTCTCCATCCAGAATATTTAATGTTGTATGCTCTCAGAGCTGGATGGTTTGAGGGCATCCCCGTGAGGTGTCCGAACCACTTGACCTTTTGTTTTTCAATGTGTGGTAGGACTGGTGTTGCTCCCACGGTGTCCCTTATGACTTCATTTTTTATTTTGTTTCTTCTTGTTTTGCTGGCCGCTCTTCTTGCATTTCATCTCGCATGTGACCAGTTTCCTCTCTAGGGCTTTTGTTACGGACCATGTCTTGCAGTGATATGTGAGTGTTGGAAGGAAAATGGTGTTGATGAGCTTCGCCTTGGTGCTCATGGGGATATTGGCCGAGTTGATAGCTGACTACGTTGGCTTTCTGGCATCTAGTCTCTATTTCTCTATCTAATTTTCCATTTCCTGTGAAAATGCTGCCCAAGTATTTCAATTCGCTGCTTTGTTTTAGTTGAGATCCATTGATGTTGATCCGCTTTGTCTGGTCTCCTGCTAATTGTCGTGACATCGGTCTTGCCAATACTGATCTTCTTGTCATATCTCGCATTTAGTTGGTTCTTATGCTCCTGTAGCTGGGTCTTGTTGTTCATCATTGTATGTAAGGTCGTCTGCGAACATGAGTTCGTTGAGTGCCTCTGGATCTGGATTGGCCTCCTTTGTAATCTGGTCCATGTAGATCACGAAGAGCAGAGGGGAGAGATTGCAGCCCTGTCTGAATCCGGATGTTGTTACTGGAAATATATATAAACGAAACTTGAATCTGTTTATGCCGTCTTGAATGAGAGAATCGAAAAGCTGAAGAGGCTAAT